ACGTCTTTTGAGGGCTCGATATCTACATCCATGTATATCTTTTGGGCAGCCTATATACACACTCATACAGTGTCTTCTACACCGGTCAGCTTTATCAATCCCTTTGTTTCAACCTCAAATAGGTTTTTATCTTCACACCTATTTGAGTTTGAGGGGGGGTTATACACAGTATCATGTATAAGTCGCTCATGGCGCACTCCCTAAGTCGCCCCCTTGGTGCACCACCACAGTCTGCTACAACGGTCCGACATGACCCCGTAAACTGTCTGCTACAACGGTCCGACACGACCATACAGTGTCTCCTATCCCATTTTTTTAAATTTTATTTGTCAGCTTATTTTTCTGTTTTGTTATTCTCTCCAAACTCAAGTTGGCTAGTGCCTATCCTCCTTGAGTTTGAGGGGGGCTGTTAATGTAAATGTAAATTACTACTACACCTACCACCAAACCTACCTCCACCTACTACTCCTATCACCTACTACACTCCACCAAACCTACCTCCACCACTCACTTCTCACCTACTCCAGAATCATCTCCTATACAATAGGAATTCTTGTACAAAATACATACACAACAATCTTGTAATATATCAAAACATCAATAATAATATACATCTCAATTTATTCTTACAAATATGTATTATCATATGTAGCTACATATCCATTTTGCTACAAACAATGATGAAAAGGAAATTTATTCCATATGGTCATCTATCATCCTATATTAAATTCAAATCCTCGTATCCTTTTTCCTACAAATTAAATGATGATGAGAAGGAAATTATTCCATACGGTTATCTATCATCCTATATTAAAGTGAAATCCAGTTACTTCAATAGCCAAAAAGTGAAAAGAAAATAGGGAAATTCTTTGAATAGGTTAACATCATGTAAAGTGCTAACCACGTATCATCTGCATCTATATATCCATATTCCACAGTTAAAAGGGTAACAAGATGTGGAAACAAAAGCAATTCACAAGGAACATCAAAGTGAAGAAAACAATACTCCCAAGTCTGTGAAAAAAGCAATTAAGCAGAGTTTAATATGGGTTTGTTTTTCCTTTGATAATTCTCAGCAACAAAACAGAGGATCAGAGTAAAACCCACCAAATATCAAACATAAAATAGAGTATCAGAGTAAAACCCACCTAATATCAAACACAAAACAGAGTATCAGAGTAAAATCCACCTAAATACTGTTCATGAGGAGTTCAAAATCAAACATAATAATCTTCTTAACACTGCAACTTGATCGAAGAAGTAACCCAAATAGATATTTGTACTATGATAGCAGAGTCAAATAAACCCTAAAAGGGATAAACATAAAGTTCAGAGGCGAAGAATGGGAAGTCAATAAAGTTGAAGAGTAATGTGATACATCAATGTAAAGGAATTCTCGGGTAGAAAACGATTTCTGAGATTTCTGAGATCGAAAATAAAACCCTAAATCTTGAAGTTACCAAAACCCTAGATCTGTAAATAACCTTTCTGTGAATGTTACCAGATATAAATGGATGAAAAGGGAACTTCTCATTTGCTTTGGTCCATGGCGATGGCGATGGCGATGGCGATGTGCGACGGACGTGAGCAATGGTGGTGAGGGACTTCGGTGAGCTAGAGAGAGTGGGCACCGATTGAGAGAGAGAATACAGAAAGAGGGAGAGGGCGGATCAACGTATAGAGAGACACAGAGAGCGAGCAGGAGACAGAGAGGAGAGACGGGATTATAAATGGCGACCAAATTTTATAAATGGCGACCAAATTTTTAGAGAGAGTGGGTACAAAACGATGTTGTTTTATAAATGGCGACCAAATTTTTTTTTGTCGCAAAAAATTTTCATTTTCCTACTCCATGTTTCAAATTTCCCTCCCAAACTTTTCACGACCAAATGACCAAATTAGTCGCAGAAAAGGTACCTTCGCCGACAAATTTTTTTAGTCGCCAAATGTCAATCAACGGTGACTAAAATATTAGTCGCTAAAAGTACTAATTTGGCGACTAATTTTTTTTGGTCGCCAAATGTAACCTTCCGCGACTAAATTTGAAGTTGGTCGCCAAAAGTATACCAATTTCTGCGACTAACTCATTTTTGGTCGCCAAAATGTGACCTTCTGCGACCAACTTATTTTGGTCGCCAAAAATAATTATCATTTACGACTAATTAATATTTTGGGCCATGGTCTAATACAAAATGAACAAAAGCAAATATCTTGTATTACATTTTGTATTACATAATACACAGTGAGCACTACAAAAGCAAATATCTTGTATTACATAATAATAATGTGCTTAGTAATATTATGAGATCTTGTTTAGTTTATGAAGCATATATATTTGAGCCTTTGACTAATTTAATAGCCTTGTTGGGTTAAATATTAGTATGTTACTAACAAACATGGTGTGGGGGCAAACAAAATTATTACAATATATTTATGAGTATTTACATGTAGGTTTTAATAGGTTGATTTATTGTTTAATAGGTCATGTGATAACTAATAACATTTTTCATCAAATACTGTTAAAAAATGTCATTAATTATTAATTTTCAGTGACAGTTTAAAAATTGTCACAAAAAAATTACTAATTATAAGTTTTAGTGACAATTTAAAAAAATCATTACAAAAAAATGTTAATAGTTTTTAACTTTCAGTGACAATTTAAAAAATTCGTCATGAAAAAATGTTACTAATTATAAATTTTAGTGACAATTTATAAAAAGCGCGACAAAAAATCACTAATTGTCAGTTTTTAATAATATATGTAAAAAATCATCACAAAATTATTTTTAACGACGATTTTATTAAAATTTATTTTTAATAAAATTTAATGAGAATTAAATCTAATTATTAAAATATATTTTTATTTTACCCTATATCCATTTACCCTCACTAGCTAGCATATTGCTTTAGTTGTCCTAACCTCCTTGCCTTTACTCTATTTACTCTCTCATCCAAACTTAAATAACAATTAATCAAGTTACATCACAACGCTGACAAATTCTTTATTTATTTCTTTATTTTTTTTATTGGACAAATAGTGGGAAGAGAAGGGCTGCACAAAAATTCTGTAAGAATATTATCTTTCTTTCTTTATTAATACTCGAATAATGAAAATTCACAAAGTGTCCCTAGATGAATTATTTAGCTTGGAACGTGCTTAAATTGTTTATATTATCATAAGCTTTTCTTTATTTGGCCGCATGCAGACTCAACAGTCATGTAATTTTGTCATCTAACCATAATCTCTTTGCTAATTAATCCACTCAATTGGAGATATTCCTTTCCTTGCCCCTATACTTTTTATATGTGATCTTTTTCTCATTTTAGTGCTATTGAACAGTCCCCATTATAGCATGCAATGACAACACATCATGAGTCATGGAATCTCTCGGCTTGCCCTACATCAAACAACCATCATGTTGATGAGATAGTGGTGGAGCCTGATCAATGGTGAGCAACCTACCCTAGTGGAATCCTAGGTCAACTGGAGCCACATAACAAGATATTATTAACTCAAGGGATTGCGGCAAGTTATAAGATCTGAGACATAAGTCTTGAGATTTCAAATTTCATTCATATTGATAGGGTGATGACGTAAAATAAATTTTTTAAGTTTAGATAAATTGTAGTTAGTGTCAGTAGTGTGGATTTAAATTTTTACTTATGTGTAAGTCTGCAATTTATCGTTACATGATTAGGTGGACCTGCTATATAGCACCTACATAAAGGTGACCTTGTTACATGATTAGGTGGACCTGCTATATAGCACCTACATAAAGGTGACCTTTAGAGTCTCGGTTCCTTAGAGTTTACTTCCAGAGGTCACTCTCTCTAGTTAGGTATTTTTCATGACAAGATATTATTTGCTATATATATGAGTTTGAGGACTATTAATTAATAATTGTTTTTTGGACAAATTATACTGATGGTCCTTATATTTTACCCTTTGTGTCATTTTAGTCCATACTCTTTTAATTGACTCGATTTTTTACCATTATTTTTAAATTTTGTTTCAATTTATTCCCATTGATAATATTGTTAGTGTTTTTTAAGAAAAATATCACTAAATTGGTTGAGGTTAGTTTAATGAGTTGGGTAA